GTGCGCCTCGGCGCGGTCGGCGGTGAGCTGCTTGGACAGCTGCCTGTGGCCGTAGGTGAGGGAGGCCATCAGGTTGGCGCGGTGCTGCATCTGGATCTGGTTGGCGCTGGGGCTGATGGGCATGCCCCGCGTGTGGGAGGACATGCTCTGCCCGGCCACGGAGGTCCCTTGCAGGAGGTTGTTGCTGACCATGTCGCCGGGCTCCTGCACTTGGATAGTGACCTGCTGAGGCTGCGACTGCTGCTGCAGGCCCAGGCACGTCAGCCCCATGTTTGGGGGAGGGGAACAGTTACCGGACTGCGGGAAGATTGTGTTGTGGGACGGCATCCCTTGGAACTGGGACTGGGAGGCGGCACCTACGAGGAACAAAGACCCTCAGCACCCGCGCCAGCCTGCGGCGAGGCTCGGGAGTGAGATCTGCCCCGCATGGGAGCTGCTGCTCTTCTGGGCCACACTGGGAGTCCCAGCAGCGTGCGCCTGTGGGCGGTGGGGAGCGCTGCTCCCGACCGCTCCATCACGCCGCGCCAGCGTGCAAAGGTCGCAGCTAGAGCCCCTTGCACAGAAAGAGAAACAAAGCGGAGCTGACGGTGATTTGCATAAACCCGAGAATATCAGCCCTTCCTCCCCACCCCCGGGAGCGATAAGTAAGGATCTTATGACAAGAAACCCAACAGCACGTTCCAGCTGGCAGCTCCTCGCAAGCTCTCGATAACACCAGCCCTTGCTGCCAGATGGAGACTCTTTTACATCATCGGCAAACCGCGCAAGGACTAGGCCGCAGGGGGGGGGCGCCGCCCCCCCGGCCCCCCCCACGCTGTTTTGCCCGGAGGTGTGACAGGACCGTACGGCTCTGCCGAGCGGCCCGCCCAGAGGAGCGCAGATGGCTCAGCAAACTGTCAGCGCTTACCGTGGGGCTGGAGCACGCTGCTGCTCACAGGAGGCGGGCTGCTGTTTGGTTGCCTGAAGAGGTGGTTATTGGGGTGGTTCGGGGGCGGGCTGGACGGCTGAATCCGTAACCTACGCAGGGAGACAAGCACCTTTTCAGCATGCCTGCTCCTTATTGAGACGCCTTTCCAACTGCGAGAGCTGCCGCCAAATGCTGTGTTTCTCTCGTTTCAAATAAACACCATAAAGCCCTCGTTTGGGATCCCAAGCTCTTTCACAGCTTGGCTTCTCTTCTGAGAGCCACCTGGCTCGCCCGAGTCACGCACACAGGTAGCGAGCGTAACCCGGCGGCTACAACAGAAACCCCCGGGGACAAGGACACCGCAGGCTCGCCTCCTGACTCGCTGTGGCCGGTGAGAAACCTTCCTTCCTCCTTTCCCGTAATTCAGCCTGCCTCATCTACAAGTCAGGGTGCTGAAGCCAAGGACGGATACCTAACCAAAAGCCTGAAAAGGTGTGAGACGTCCAGCGGCAGCTCTGAGTAGAAAGCATGAGCGAGACCGGCTGCTGAGGGGAACGCGTTTTCAAGCCGGTCAAAAGGCAGAACCGTCAGTCACCCGTTCAAAGCAGATTCGTGCCTCTAAATCATCTTTCTCTGCTTCTAAAGGCCCTTCAGACAGAACCCAGCTAAAAGGACTGGGCACGTTCACCTGGGAACCGGCTGTGCCATTCTAACTTTGTACGCTTCCAACTCGGCCCCACACCCTAAGTGCGTTAGCTCGTCCCCGGGCTTGAGTAAAACCCATTCCCCAGAGCTTCACTAAAGCAGTTTCTTTACCTCTGAAGCTGGTGAGTGAGCAGGGCTGGCTGGTTTTCACACGGAGCTTGCAAGGGTGGAGATGGCTGGGGTGGCCGGATACAGTCCTGAACCAGGCACCAGAAGAAAACAAGACGTGTTTGCAATCAATAACGTCTCAACTCGGAAATTTAGACAACGCTGATTGGTGAAGTAGGACATATCCAGATTCACCAAATACTCGATCCCTGACTGCAGCTCTGGCTATCGCAGCAGCTGTGCAAACGTCACTGCTGAAGTCCTTCAGGCTTGCTTCTCATTACAGCAAGCTGAGCGGTCTACCCTCCTCCATCCCGCCGGGACCCGCTCGGTAGTTGTACCTGCAGCAATGCAGGAAAACACAGCTAAGGCTTCAGAAGCTCTGGCTCGAGGCTCCGGTACCTGAATCTGCTGATGAAGAATCTGATGGTGCTGCTCCTGCTGGTACAACATGTGCTGCTGCTGCGTCTTCTCCAGCGTCCTCTCGTCCATGTGCCCCCCGTACATCTTCTGAAGCTGCTCGCACTCCTGTAATGAATCCAACACACCCTCTAAGCGACCTTCTTGTGCACGGCACGCTTGCTGTGCAGAAAGGCACCCTCTGAAAAAGCCAGTAAGGAAAGCCTAATCCATTTGATTTGACGGAATCAGGTGTGCGGGAACACGGCTAGCTCAAGCCTTGGAGAACAGAAAAGAAACGGATGCTCCCGACGCCAGGCTGGCACCGCTGCGTTCCCTTAAAAATGCAAGCGCAAAGCTCTAGTAATGGTAATTTCAAGGTGGAAAGAGCATCCCGCATTTCTACCCCGTTGCAAGGTGAAAGTCCCGTCCCGGGGCCAAATCCCACTCGAGCCACCGATAAGACGTGCGCTGGCTGCGTAGGGAAGCGCATACAATACACTCCAAACTCTGGCGGTAGGAACCGCCCTTTTCCCGGGACCCCCTGGAACAGCCCCAAACCTTCGCCGCCATGGGAAATGCGGGAGAGCAGCAGCCGCCGCAGTCTGACGGTGCCGGTGGGACCCGCGAGGGCAGGCCGAACCGCCCCACACGTGGGCGCAGCGCGGGGTTTGCTCTCCAGAAGGAGGGGGGGTGGAAGCCCCCCAGTGTTCCCAGCTTGCGGGTGAACAGCGCGCGCACGTAGAGGACGCGCGGCAGGGTTGCTGCAGATACACAGAGGGGAGCAGCCCCTCGGCCGGCAAGCCACCGGGAAAGATTTCACTTTTTGCGCCCCGAAGCAGCAAGGCTGAGACAGTAAAAAGCCCTCGCGGGGGCTCTTTCGAGGCCCCCCACCCCTCTCTTTTACCTGCTGAAGCTGCTTGATGCTACTGTTATTGCCCATCTTCTCCAGGTGGGCTTTGAAAGCCTGGATGCTGGCAGCACCGTCAGAGAAGCGCCGAACCGGGGAGAAGCGTTCGGTGGGGAGGTGCAGAGTATTTGAGTCCTTGTAAATAGAACTGAACACATGGGGAAGCGGGTTAGCGGTATCAGCTAAAAAACAAACTCCGGTACAGAGACATTTAGTTTGCACCAGCCGTGCCAAGTTCTACCTGCCCCCTCACCCAGAATAAATCACGTTTTAGACCAAGAAATAAAATGCCAGCATCACCGTGAACAGGAAACAGGATTACCAAGGATCCTCGGTGCCCGGGCAGATAAATGTGTTTTAAGGTTGGAGACGACTCAGCCACAAACCAGATTCCAGATGGGCAGCAACTCGTTGCCCATCCACACAGATGCATCTATCCCTCAGATGGAAAAGGTTTACAGAAACCGTTCAGCATCCTAAAAATGTAAATTCACCTCTTCAGCAGCCGCTTCCTGAGCCTTCCGGCTCCCCAGGGCCCCCCGACTACATCCGACGCCCGCGGAAAACTGGAAGGGCCCATGGAGAAAGGAGCCTGACGTGTTCTGCGGCCTCTGAGGAGGAAGGGGGGCTGGCATCCATGCTTAGAGATGCACTGAATTAAAGAAAGAGGGCAGGAACGTAACTCTGCACAGTAGGGGAAATCTTTCTAATGCGTTAACCAAGCTGTCGCTTCGCATCCCGAGCCTCCCAGTTGCCTGGATGCTTGGCGCTGGGCAGTCAGAATGGGTACATTTGAAAAGCAGAGACAGCCAGTATCGAGGCAACTGCGCCCGGGGAACTACAAGCACTTTCCCTTCACAATGAGGTTTCTTCTTCACCATCAGAGGGAGCCAGATTTTTTTTTCAGGAGCTGTTTTCTCCCAAAGTTGGGGCTCCCCATTATCGAAGCCAAGCACTAAGCTCCTGCCCTGCCATTAGGGGCAACCTGTATTATCACTAGCAAAGGTAACTTTCCACACACACGTCGCAATGTGCCTCGTAACAAACAGAATCGGGTTTCTCTGCCCGCCCTGACGGTTTCTGTGCAAATGCAATCTATAAAACCCAGCAAACGATAACTTAACGGTACAGGCTCCAACCGTGGCCTTTGTCTGTGAGAAGGTCGCGGAGACGTGGCCTTTACAAGCACCTCTGACACGCCGGCACTAAACCAAACAGAAGCCCGTCTGGCTGCACAGCGGTGTGGTCCTGAACTGCATTACCGCAGGCACGTTACTGCCGCAGCTACTCTGAATATGGCTCTTTACTGAAGCCTTTTCCAAGAAGCGAAACTATTTCTCCTGGAGAGGCTCCCCCTTATCGGAAGGTGACTGATGCTGACCATTTCCAGCACGCTGGGTTTAGTTCCTGTCGCTTGGTCTGCCTTGGTAGGACGTACTTCAGTTTTTGTAGGTGACAGACAACTTTCTTCCAAGGACAGAGCTGTGCCCCTGCCTTTTGACGCCATCCCACCCGTTATCCCGATCCATTTGATCTCCTCTTGTATTGATGGAAAGCAGAAGCTACAGACAAAACTACGCTGAGGCTCCCAAACCCGCGTGGCCAAGGCAGAACAACTGTACTGCCGTGGTCGATCGTTGTACTTCAATTCTGCTTTCAGCTACTGAGTTACCGTGACCAAAACCGGGCGTTGCGTAAGAAGATGGCTTCAAATACGTTAAGTGCTAAAATAAGACCCACCTGCCGTTCGATAACTGAGGTCTATTTATGTGACGACACAAGACCGCTAACGGTTTCTGTGCCATACGTGTCTTGGACACAACATGGGGCGATCTGCTCAGGCCACGGTCAGACGAAGTTTCTGTGATTTCGCAGGTGAAACACGAGGCAGGCTCACAGCGCGTTACGACACCGAGGGCGGAATGAGCAGATACCACCCTGTTCATGAAGCAACAGCCCCAGGACTCCAAAGCCAAGAGGCAGAGGTGACACCAATGTATTTACGGGGTAAGTGTGCTTTAACGGTCTTGTAAAAAAAAAAAAAATAATCAATTCCTGCAGTGCGTGAGGCACCCGGCTTACCTTTACGATTTGAAGCAATCCTGAAAGCAGGACACAGCACATTCTGGTTGTTTTGCAAGCTGCACTCCTCTTCCTATCAAGCTCTGACCCTAGAAATCTTTCCCCTCCTGCTCTTCCCATCCCCCAAGCACCTTTGCGAGGGAGTAACTTCAGGGTAGAGAGGTGCTTATCTTGGTTTTCCGGAGTTCCAGCGTGGCACTAGCACTGTCTCAGTCTGCTCAGAGTTCACCTGTCTCTGCTGATTACATCAGTGCTCAGCTCAGCAGGTATCTGGCTACAATAAAAAGCGCTTTGTCAAGCTTGCCAGGGTCAGCTGGCTGAACGATTGAACACGAGCACCAATCCAGCCTGGTAGGCGACTGCCTTCGCAACAGTCGCGACCAACAGGCAGCAAACTCTGCAGTTTGCAGCCGGTTTGCGCTCTCAGCACTGAGAGGTTCAGAGCCCCGGTTTTTAAGCTCCCTCTGTGGCATTAGCATCTCCGGTTTGCTGCTGTGGCAAGGACCCTTGTGTCACTCGAACACCTCTCTCCCTCAGGAGTGCCCCACCCACGCATTTTGAGTGTGTTTGGATCCAATCTGCAGAGGTTCCCTCTTTCCCAGACGTTGTGATTTTTTTTCTTCCCACCCCAGCTTCCTTCCCCCACATCATTCCCATCAGGGGTTCGGATCAGAAGTACAATGACTCTTGAGGAGCTTTGCAAAGAGACTTTGCAGTCAAAACACACAACTCTGGTGCAGAACAGTGAGGTTTTTAAGCTCTGGCGTAGATGACTCTTGGTGCAGCCTTTTGCCTGCGTCTGCCTCCAAAAATGTTCTGTAGAGAATCTGCTCTCTACTGCTAGCTTGACACCTACCATTGCAACAGAGAAAAGCTCTCCTCTGAAATGAATAGCTCGTTCCCAGCCCTCGTGTGACGGCAGCCATTCTGGCAAATCATCTCCAGCCACAAAAACGGGACTGGAGGGGAAGAGCCAGCCGATTCCTGCCCCTGCGTTGCTTGTATCTGCAGGCACGGAGCCCGCGCCAGCGCAGAACTCCAGTGTCCCCAGCGCGGCCGGACACCCTCTGCTCTGCGGGTCCGCTCTTTGCACACTTGTTCCTCCTCCTCACCCCTCCCTGCCAAGCGGGATGTCCTCAGTGCTCCATTCCAGATGACATCTGAGCAGGATTCCTGGCGCAAAGCTGCCCGAACGGCCGGTGCCATTACTCACCGGTGCTGATCGGGTACCAGGTGTGGAGCCCAAGCCCGGGGTCGGAAGGACTGCTGTCCTAGCTGCCTCTGCAAGTCTGGAGGGATTTCAGCTGTAGGGTTGGTCATTGCCAGAGTGTGCCTTTTTGACCTATTTGCCAAGTATCTGCAACAAGCAGGAGCACATTTTATAAGAGACTGATGGGAGTACTCCAAAAACAGGGAGCGTTAGATAATCCAGAGTAAACGGGAAGGAAGAATGCTTGCTGCAGTGCTCAGAACCGACCGGGGAGAAGCACGCCATGGACACGCTGCCCACGCCCGCCACATCACCGGGTCTTCAGCGCTTAGGGGACAAGTGTAGTCTCAGCTGCTTGTGTGCTACCGCCAGCCTCAGAAGGGAAGACCAGCCATTTGCTCTTCCCAGCAGGAAAGCCACGTTTCATCTCAAGGGGAATGCTGGTATATCCCTTTGGGAATACCCAGGCAACTGCCTGCCCTCCACGCGGATTCACTCCACTACAGCAGGTCTGCCTCCCTCCCCCAAGGCCCCACTGAGCCACGGGGAAGTCTGCTGCATGCACGGAGCCGAGAGATGAGTCAGAGACAATCCTAGCAAGAGCGGGCCGGGGAACGGGCGCAGAGCAGAGCTGCTGCTCAGCTGCACCCTTGCAGGACGGCCTTTGCTCTTCAGACCTACCCTGGGACGCCCCGGGCCTAGCCGTGAGCAGCGGCCAGCTCGTCACGGCAGGGGAAGGGTGCACGAGGGCCACCCCACCAGAGATTACGGGTGGGTAGAGCCTCCGGCTGCCTGAGGAGCAGGAGGAAGGGCGCTGGGCTGAGGAAGGGCTGGTGCCCAGCCCGGTCCGAGTGCGCCATCTAGTCCCTGCTCCGCTCTCCGGGGAGTCGGAAACCACCCGGTGATGCGCAGGGCAAAGCCAGAGAGGGAAAACGAGCAGCGAGAGGGTCCCTTCCTCTGGAGCCACAGCCCCCAGCGCTAAGGCTGGGCTTGCCTCTCACACCAGAGCCTGGAGGCAGCAGCTTAACCTAAAGCACCCTCCGCACTGGAACCAAGAGACCTCAGTTCTTTTGCAAACCCCCTAAAGACTGGGGGAGCGCGCAGGGCAAAACTAGGAGCCTCTGCTTCGGCAAGGGTGTGACGAAGGGCCGCACGGCTCCACCAAGCGCCTACCCAGGATGCCCTGGCTTGCGGCGAGCAGGGGGGCTAGCGCTTTACCCCCTCAAGGCCAGGTGGGATGAACGCCCGCCTGTGAGCTCAACTATTTCTACTCTTGTGAACCACCAGCAACGAGGCAGCTGCGGTTAACTGTGACAAAGATCCCCGGGCCAGCAACACCAGGGATACTAATGGGGAATTCTCCCCTTCCCTCTTTCCCCGCCGCTAAGGCTCCCTGCAGCTTCAACTGGTGAAGCCCGGAAGAGCAGCAAACAATACAGTCGTTGCCTTCTCCAAACCCGGCCTCTCTTTGCTAGCTACCGAAGCCACTTAAGCAGAAGGCAGCAAGTTAACAGAATGAAGAGTGCTTAGCGTTGTGGTAACTTGCCAAAGCCTGTGCCATTAGCTGTTTAAGAATCATTTGATGCAGACGGGGAAGGTTTCCCAAAGAGCTTTACAGTTGTGGTTTGCTAAGATCATTTTATTTCAGACCTCCAGGGAACAATCCAATCATGAGCTGCAAGAGCCTTTTGGGTGGAAGAAAGTTTCCCCAAACTCAAAGGAGATGTGACTGTTCCCTGGAACAGAGAAAAGACTATGCTCTGTTTTCAAGGTCAGATTAAGGAGGGCAAAAACTGCTCACCGGTGGCTGCATACAGAGTGTTCGGAGCGGTGTTCTGAGAAGCTAAATATTTGCATCTGTCCCTGATGTTAATGCTATTTACCCTTCTCCTCTGATGACTACTGACATGTTGCAACATAAGGGGGTGGAGAGCATGTTAACACACCACCTGGATGGGGCTTTTTCTGGGCCATCTGGTGGAGGAATCACCTGTGGTATGAAAGGATTAAGGGCAGCACCGTCGAGAGCAGCGAAGTGACCTATGGGTCCAAGGAGACTTGCCTTTCAGTGGGATCTGAACATCGCAGTGGCTTGCAACCTACAAAATACCGCATGTGGGTTTCAAAACCCTTCCAGCTGAGCTAACGCTTTAACTTAAAGGCTCAACTGAAACCTTAGGTTTTAGAGAGGTGAAAATCTGCCCAGGTAAGATGTCCAGGCATCCCCTTGCCAAGAATCAGATTTATCTGATTTGCAGAGTCAGAAATACCGTCTACTGTCTGAGGTGTTGTCAGTGGACATTATGGGCCCTAAATTACAACTTTTAATAGCTATCTAGGCAGCACGGCTGTGTATAGAGTCTGCGTTCCTGAGCCCTGCTAGGGAGGACAGCGCACAGTTAGGGTACGGCAGCTTAACAGGGGCTGAATGCAGCCTACGGCGCCTGGAGAGGTGCATGCTCTTCGCCCGCTCAGTGCTACGACTTAGCCTCATTTCTTTCATCGTGCTCCCCTGCAGCTGGGGCAGGTCACGAGCATGGACCTTCCCAGTACCCTGACTCGGTGGATGAGCAGCAGCTCGTGAAGCTGGAAAATACTGCGAGAGCGGGCAAAGACGAGGGTGGTGAAGAACGAGAGCATAAGGCTACGCAGAAAACACAAGATGTGTTCTGCTGAAGGGCTGTGTCAGCTAAGGTAGGGCTGGAAGCGAGTTCTTTCCCATGCACCAGCTTTGACTTTCTTCTAAGCTCAGGTAGGCAAAAGGAGTCTCAGCGCACACTCTGCACAGTCTGTCACCGCACACACCCACCGGCCAAATCCCCCCTTCGCTCTGGAGCGCTGAAAGGAGAAGAGTTGGCAGAGGCTCTGGAGCGCGACCTCCACCCACCCCCGTGCTTCTCTGCCTGCAGCCAACCCCCAGTTTGAATCCTTCTCCCAGCCCCTGAGGAAACGCTACCTTACTCGAGGTGATGGCCTGTACAAACTGGGGGGGAATCCAGAAAACTTTTCAGGTTTGCGGTAAGAAGTAGGAGCACTCGGTAACCACACCCACCACACGTAGCGCACCGGCTGGTTAGCAGAGAGGAAACTACGCGAAAGCTACTAAGAAAATGTTAGCAAGGACATGGTTAGTGTTTTCATGGATTCAGAAAGTACAAGCATACTCTACCCGCTTCCCAGTACGTGTTTGCAGCAGGTAAAGAGAACAGAAGTTTCCAGCCTGACAGCTCATAATCCTTTCCTTATTGGAGCAGACTATTTTAAGGCCTACTGCGAAAATTAGAAGCTAGAGGTACCCGTATTTCCAGCAAGCTCACTTTAAGGCATCAGAGTTGGATGTTTACTGCATGTCTTGATACAAAAGCTGCACTGACACCCAAGGCCACAGATGAGATCCTCCTACCTCCATCACTCAGCAGGGAGGGGTGAATCACTTAGCACTCTCATTTTGCAGGTTAGTGTGGATTGCATGCTGGTGCACACTAAGCAAAGGAATTTAGCGGTTTCAGAGTTTCTGGAGAGCCCGCTGCTCAAACAGCTAACCGTTTCAGGGGGAGTCCAGCTTTGTAAGCACCTAGTAGTGTCAGAGGAGTAATTGCCTACAGTAATCAACACCCACAAGAACAAGAGAAATGCTGAGCCTTCGCTGTAACCAACACTGTTGCCTGTGATGAGGTTGCTCATGTTTTAATTCAGCTGTGGAACACCACAGGGTAAGCCTCTTGGAGGGTAGTAAGGGCAAACGTTAACAGACTGGGGGTTACCTCTGCACAGCTTCCTGATCTGGCTCCCCATCGGAGCTCTCCTCATCCACAGGGGTGACAGCCGGGACAGCCTGCAGAGAGAAGAGAAGCCACGGGTTCCAGAAGGCAGCCGGCGCGGTCCCATCCGCACAGCGGACACCTGACCTTCCCGAACAGGCTTTCACAAGAATATATGCCAGCTCCTCTGCGGCACCAAGGAGCCCTTCCGACATTCCTTCCCCAAACAGAACCGCCTGTACAAGGTTGCTGCTTCTTTTGGTGTTACCAGGAAAATTCAGTGATACAAATGCCTCAAGGAAGAACGTACAGTAACGCCCAAGACGGACATTTTAGCTTTCTCTATTAGATCAGCAAAGGAGAAGAAAAGCAATCATTAAAAAAAAATTCACAAACACTGTGTCAATTCCAGAAGAGGAATACCGCCTCAGCTGCCAGCTACCGGAGAGCACGGCAACCCTCCCGCAAGGGGACAGAACGCCCTGCCGCTCCGGAGGACGTGAACCTTCGGAAGCAAGCGGGCGCTCTCCCTGCAGTGCTTCCAGAGCGCCACTCTGTCTGCTACGACCTGGAGGCAGTCACCTCTGCCTGCGGGAGAAGGTATTTATAAGCACGCCACCGACTCTCGTCTTTCCTTTCGCTACTTACTGGCGTCATAGTGACGAGCGGAGATGGACCCCGAGGACGTTTCAGCAGTTGCTGTGCGTGTAACTGGATGTTAGCTCCGCCATCTGACGCCCTCCGCCCCAGAGGGCCCATGCCATTCAGGAGCTGCAGGGTGGGGGGCTGCAGCAGGGACTGCTCCTGGGAAGCAGACAGACAGCGCAGTTATCAACCCCGTACCGGAGCCTTCCAGTACCCGAGCGCTAAGGTCACAAACCCAGACACGGGCACGAGAGAAGACAAGCCTTCTGGGCTTCAGGAGAGATGGGGGATTAATCACCAACATCTCAGAGCTGACGTGGGGCAGAGAGAGGCAGGGTCAGTGGGAAAAGCAGTGTTTCACTCTCCATTTCCCTGCACTCTGCTCGAGTTGCCAGGCAGGCTGCAACCCGCAGCTCCGAAGCCAGGCAGCACAGTCCTACTTCTCCCCAGCCCAGTAATTAATTTCATATTGCAGTGTTCTTTCCCTCTCCAGCTTTTTAAGGAACCAACTAGAGTCATACCTAAAGAGACAGCAAGAGGGCAAATCTTGAAGCTTATGGAGTCCAAGGAATCGGCAAATAGGGAGAGCAAGCGCGAGCACAAACACGCACCCACGTGCCGGCGGGGCACCGACTGCAGCAGGGAGCACGTGCACCTGCCAGTACCTTGTACTCCAGCTGACCCGTGGGCTGCAGGTTCTGCCTAGGCAGCACATTGTGCATGAAGTTCACATTCGGGGTCACCTGCAGGAACGGAGCCTGAGGAGTGACGCGGGGGAAGCCAGGCAGGAGCTTCTGCAGATCTTCCATGACTTCCGTCCTGTGCAATCACATTTACAGACAGGTGAATTAGCAACGATGTGAAGACAACCAGCCGCGGGCCCAGCGCGCTCAGCTTCCCTTCACAAAAGGCTTCTTATTGCCCTGGAAAATGGTCACAGAGAGTAGCCAAGCCACTCTTCGGTTTCCGTTTGTCCTTTTTCCCCCTCCGAGCTGAGATTTGCCAGAACCAGCTCTTTGCATTAACCTCGATCGCATTTATCACAAAAAACTTCAGCTAGGACATGACAGGAGTGCTGCTTAGGTGAGAAATTGGCTTGCACACCAGTCAACACCGCTATAGTTTACACAGCGCTAATCAGGAAGAAGAGAAGGAAAGAATCCCATCCTCATCCTCAGCTGCAATATTGACCAAGTTGTGCTATGGGACCAGGACGTTTAAAAGAACGCTTTTGCTAAAGAGATACACCTTGAATTTCTTCCTCTATCTAGCAAAACTCAGGTTTGCAGAAATAACTCCAAGCCACTCACAGCAGGAGCAGGAAACCAAAGGTTTGATACCAGCTATGACACAGACGCCTGCACTCACCACCACCTGGTGTGGCTAGAGCGAAGCAGAGACCTGGGACCGAGGGGCACGCCGTGAAGAGTATTTCCCAGCCCAGAAACTGGAGACCACTGCCAGTTCAAACGGTATCAACTCTTATATACCACAGAGCCCAGAAGTCCCCCTTAAGGCATTAGCCTCCCATCTGCCAATGTAGCACATGAATAAATCTGTGATACCTCAGAAGGACCAAAGTCATGCGCTAGGAGTAAATCTTCAAGTTCCCTTAATCCTCCGTCAGGGAGTCAAGAGTCCAGTACTAACCGTGGGTCAGCTACTCCAACTGTGTGCCTTCTCATTGAAAGGTAACGGACCAGAGCTTCAGGTGACGGCTCTTCCCCTTCATCACTGTCCAAGTTCATCGTTCCATCAGTCTGGGCAGGCAAAACATTGGAGATGTCAAATACAACGTGAGGATCAAGCAAAAGGCTTCAATGCAAGCCCAGGAAAAGAACTCGCGGGGGTCATTAAGGGGAGCACCTCACCTCTACAATTTGGTTTTCAGGGTTGATGAGCTGGACTTGCGGCACGTTGATGCTCATGGTATTGCCCGTCTGTTCTGTCTGCTGAGCGGGGAGATCAAAATCAGAAGACATGATTCTGTAGCTGTAGGACATCTCCTACAACCCCTTTACAAACACTGCCGGATTAACACCACTGCACAGACCTAACCACCTGGGAACAGGGAGGTGACCCTGGAGCCAGTGAAGATCTGTTTATTCTTAATTCCCAAGAGGCTGCCTCATTTTCCCTCCTCGCTTCTGCTCAGGCAGGGTCAGCATCTCTTCTGCTTCCCCTATGACCGGGTCCCCTCTTAAAGCAAACGTTCCTTTCTTGGACAGCAGCACAAATTGAGGAGGAAGCATTGCGCAGCAGTCCCAACACACTCTAGGTCCCAACCAGCAACCCTCGCATTGCCTCCTCCTCTGTCACTTAGCTAACACAAGACTTTCTCTGAAGGGTATTCGCTAAACCCACGGCCGACGAACAAACTGTTCCTAACCTCAGGATTACGGCACCCTAAAGACGCATGAAGTTCTCAGACAAGGAACGTTTTGACACTCCTGCCAGGATGAAGACACCTCACCCAGCACGTCTGGGTCTGGCAGGTAAGGGACTGGCTGGCCTTCCAGGGCTGGAAGAACACTATGCAAGCAGGATCTACCTGGATGTTAGCAGAGGTGGGGAAGGTCATGGTCCGTGGTATACTTGGAGATGCTGCAATGCGCAGGTTCTTGTGCCTCTTCAGACGGTCGCAGAGCAGGCTGTAGATTGCACTGTAGTGATCGTAAGCATCGGCTCTTAATGACTAAAAAGAGGAAAAGGCAAAAGCGGTCAGTTCTTTTTGTCACGCAATAAAATACGCTCCGCACTGTGCTGAGGTTGCTCAGTTGCTAGAGGTGAGAGGCAACAAACACGGCCATGTGTTCTCCAGTGGGAATAGGCAGGACGTGACCGTCAGCTGTGGTGTCCTACCTGAATTGTGCGCTCCTTGTCCAGCCCCATGTCCGCCATTGCCAGCAACACATCCTCGTTCAGCGGCTCCATCTGCCTCTCAGTCTTCAGGTGCTGACACTCTGCTATCAGCTGCAAGAGCACAGACACAGACTTCAGTGCTGACATTCCCAAAGGCACACCAATGAGTCACAGCGCTCTGAAGAACCAAGGCACCAGGCTCCAGCTGCAAGCTGGCGTGAGCTCGGAAGGCTGATGGCACACCAATTCAAAATCTAGTGCCTTCGGCTCTCAGCGCCAAGGGGAACGATACAAAAATATGCACAGACGAGGAGCGATGTGGAAAGCAAGACCAGGAGACACAGAAAGCGGAAAGGCAGCACACCAGTACCGGGAATGAGAGTTCTCAAACAGCCAAAACGAACACTGCGGCACTACGTGCCCGGAGCCCGTTTGCAGCCTGGCAGGCGCCGAGCAGACCCCACTCGCACACCAGCTCGCTCCTGCTTCTCACCCTGTCAAACTCCGCATCGGCCTCCCCAAGCTTCATCCACTTGTGTTTGCAGATCTGCTCCATGGAGAGCCGCTTGCTTGGGTCCAAGACCAGCATGTGGCGGATCAGATGTTCACATTCTGCAAGGGAAGAGAGAGAGGGGCCGGGTCAGCCGCAGGGAGAGACACGACTTCTGCAGGAGGCAGCCTCGCGCCGCACTAGGAAGTCATACACAGCAAAAAGATTGCTTCTCCTTCTGCACTTCGCACCCGTTCAGTCCCCGACGTGCCACTTTGCTGCAGACACTTCATTTCCCCGTGCTAGGAAGGGAAGCCACCCAGGCCACCGGGCCCCTGTGCTGTTTGCCGGAGCCCCTAGGTGGCACGCTGTCACCCTGTCCCTCCTCGCCTTGCCGGCACGGGCCAGGGAACACAGCTGGCTTTTGGGGGGGGTGAAAGGCAAAGTATCCTCTGAACGTCCCCCCACTTAGCAACAGCTGACTGTGAATAATTTCTCCATCGTATTACGTCTGTGCTGTCAGCGTGGGGGACTGCTGAGGCTCTCCCCCATCTGGGGTGGGAACTAAGCTTGCTCTAAAAGCACCGCAAGTTTTATCAAGCATTTTCTGCATGAAGAGAACCCCCTCCGCAAGTAAGGCAGCAGGCAAGGAAGCTTGCAGCTGGGAAACTCCACGCAGCCCATGCAAAATTATTCCCTAAGCTGAGAGCAGGCAAACGAGAACCTACGTATGACTCGTTCTTAAGTGAAGCTGGATTAAGTGGTCGGATCTCTTAAGTGATCCGAGAACTAACCACACTTTTCAGAAACAAGATTTATTACTAAAGCATTCAGGAGCATTTTTGCAGAAACAGGACATCGACATTCATCTCTGATGGGGCTACTGCTGGAAATTCACGTGCCATAATGCTGTAAAAAGCTTCTTCTCTAAAACAGGTGCCGCGAAAGCCTCTCTATTCCTAAATCACTATTCCATTTTTAGCTTTCGTGTTTCCAAAATTTAGAAAGAGCGTATCTTCGCTAACATTTTGCTATAGTTTGCAGTTATATACGTGAAAGCTGACATTTTAAATACGTGTATTTCGGTTTCTACATTCTAGATTCAGAACTCTATGTTATGAACCACCGTCCAGCGGATAAGCTTCCTGGCATACCACCTCACTGGCATATAAATCAACTGGTATACTATAATTTAAGTGCTCCAAAGAGTCCGTAAGCAGAGACGCCACCAGCGCCTGCTCAGCGCTGCAGGCGCGCCGCGGTGCGCGCACCCCTTACCTGTGGACATGAAAAATGGAATGCGAAATTTCCCACTGAGCACCCTCGCCCGCAGGTTCTGCAGCGTGCTCCCGTCGAAGGGCAGAGCGCCGCAGACCAGCACGTACAGCACCACGCCGAGACTCTGCGTCCCAAACAAAGGTCGCGTCAGCAACGTTAGAGGGAGAGACCGGGAGACGGCAGTTAATTGCAGTGAGTGTTGTTTAAATAGAATAAAATCATAATAGAGAAGAAAAAGCAAATCCCATTGGAACGGACCTTGCTGACATCTCAGTCCCAGGCCAGCTTAATTCCTCCTATAAACTTCAAGCCTAATTTAGACTTTCTTTGGAGCCTCGGAAGCCAACGGTTAACGAAGCCTACAGCCCCAGCCTGCCCGAGGCAGCCCCGTAGCACCGCGGCGGGAGGCTCTGGCCAACCTGCACGCCCAGACCAAACACAGCTTCAGCCGACCGAACGCTGCTGTGACGGCGCGGCCGTTTCACGCCCAGCTGGGCCACCCTTCCCTCCCACTCATCTGGCTCGGTTGGCAGAGCTCGGGGAGCCCCGCGAGGAGAAGCGCCAGGACAGCAGGCAACCGAGCCAGTGTGGAAAGGCAGGGCTGCAGGGCTGCAGGGCAAAGCAGGCTCTGCGTTGCACAACCAGTGCCACGGAGGAGAGCGTCCCAAGTCCCTGCGCTAATGCGCTCTCCGCAAAAACCTCGTGGAGCAAAACTTGAAGTTTCCTCTCTCAGCTCTGGCAGATCAAGCCCTACCGCAGGAAGTACTCCGCCATTCAACAGCAATGAAGCGAACCGTATTTTTGGGAAACGAAAATAAAATGCATTTCTGGGCAACTAAGATTTTTGGCGTCATGCCTCCCAATAAAGAAAACACGTGACGTAGTAGCCAGAATAAAATTTCGTAAGCATTTCTTCGAAAAACGTTTTTTGCCGTATCATGGGCTTTTCTCCGAGACATGTACTAAGTGTTCAGGAAGCAAAGCCAAACAAACAGAGCAAAAATGAGATCAAAGTAAGAGAGGGAGAGGTTCATCGCATACCCAAATGTCAACCTTTGGCCCATCGTACTCCTTTCCTTCAAAGAGCTCTGGAGCAGCATAGGGAGGACTCCCACACCAGGTTTTAAGCAGCTGACCAGGCGTGAAGATGTTACTGAACCCAAAATCTGAAAGACCAAAGAGAACTGATTAGAGGAATACGACCCGCTCCAACCGTCCTAAACAAACGGTATTTATGTAATTTGCTGAGTCTAGTAAAGTCACGTGCAGTCCCGTAATGGCTAACCGATAACGCAGACATCAGAGAAACGAGAGTGCAAAAGAGGCAAGAAGAGTAAGAGCAACGCTGAAATCACCTGGGCAGCGCGCAGCTTCTTCTGTCCGTACTGAGAAGACCAAGCATTAACGGCGGCACCTCCGCTTCACACAGTGTAAAACACACCCCCCATTTAAACAACCTGCTGCAAAATACCCACGACTTCGGCCTGCTTCACGTACTACAACCATGCTGCTTTTGCTCAGCAGAACACAAAGATCCTTCCAGAAGTTTGCTCCTCACTTTTCACCCACGTGATTTCCATGCTGGAGTCAATACACCAGCAATCAGATCAACGAGGGTTGCTGCAAGTCAGGTGGACGGTTTGGAATGCGGCTTCCACCTTACGTTCAGGAAATCCTACGTAAATCCCGCGTGTTAATTTCCAACCTTCAGCTTCTCCGATGTCGAGTTTCACAACCTCATTAGGGCCAGGACAGCCGCCAGCAAGGACAGAATGCAGACAAAGGGAAAAAGAACGGGAAATTTTGGTTTTCCAAAAGCACTACATGAGCTGGAAACTTCAGTTATGGTGGGCAGCTCTACAAACCAAGTCAAATCATCCACCAACAGCAAATAATAAATCCTGAAAGAGAAATTAAAAGAAAGGTCTTAACCTTACAGGCAGTCAACCATCAGCTTATGTGGGCGCTAACGGCACTCTCTGCTAATTAACCTGCCACCCCCCAGCACACGGCTGGGACTTGCACCGGGAAGAGTAAAGAAACCGAGGTCTGGATTCAAGAGAAGCGAGCTTTTTCTTACAAAAAGAAAGAATCTCCACTAACAATTTCCTTCTTTTTCACCTCAATTGCAAAATAACGCAGTCACAGAGAGGCGTCTCCAGGTCCCGCGAACGAGGTGTCCTTAGGAGCAAGCTCTGTCGGAAGGAGCGGTGCCACAGAGGTTATCTGCGAACTGCCGTGCCTGTGTTTCTGCTAGAAGTGTGCCAGCAGGAGGGCGAGTGACATTAATGCACGCGGACGGGCACCCACGGCAACAAGGACATTTTTCATGGCATTTGCACCGGCAGCAAATCCTCACGGCAGGCTTGCGTGAGAAAAAACAAGGAGGGCCAGAAATACTCAGTCTGCAAATTCTAACTGATTAAACCAAAAAGCATCGTGGCAAAAATATACAGTACAGCTGCGGAAAGTAAAAATCTCTTATAAAGAGCTTCAGACTAATTTTGACTCCGTCACTGGTCAGAACCGCAGCGTATCTGGGATAAGGCACAGCTGACTGCCTACCTGTCAGTGAAACACAAGATCCCAACGCTGTGCCAGGAGAACCGGACTGAAAACGCGCATTTTAATACAAGTATACAAATGGTAAAGAGTACTGGAGATGCAAAAGCACAGCAGGTTTTTTCCCCTTTCTTGAAATAAGTACACATTCGTCTTGAAAAGTCATCTTCGTTTTTATCTGCTTATTTCTCCTTCCAGTCTTTTATCCGTGCTTTAAAAGGGAAGGACTTTGGCACGCGCTCTTTAGCCATCAAGAAAGGTCTGTTTTCCTAAATCATACCAAACTACAGGCTTGCCCTAACACATTCAATACTACCCTGCCGAAATGACAACAGTTGTCGTCTCTTAGACAAAAGGGCCCAGAGCTTCTCACCAGCTTGCAAGAGAGCGAGCCACCAGCGAGGCCGGTGACGGCCAGCACCTCTGCGCAGGAGGCACAGAAGACCCCGCCGGCACTCCGCAGGCAACGCGCTAACCGGTGAGCCCGTGCTCCCGCTCGCGACCGCCGCTTTCCTCACAGGACTTTCCATGACCTAATTTCAGGCGACCCTCCTCTCCTCCTTCAAACACCTTCTGCAGACCTCCCCGGACCAGCTAGCACTGCGGTCGGCACAGCTCCCGCTAGCTCAGCTCCAGGAGGGTACAGCCAACTGTCCCCCTTCCCACCCCTTCGCAGGGGCAAGGTTCTCAGTGCGGAGATGGTTTACGCTTGTGAGGAATACCTAGCGTGGCGTGTTATCCTTGTATGTACTCGACCGGGCTTCGCGGCACATCGGGAACCAACCGTATTTTCAAAGCAGCGAGTATCGCTCCGTGCAGCCCAGCACCAGCTCCAGCTCTGCACAGGACAGGGGAACGCGGTGTTCCCCGCGCTGCTGCACCGGCCCGCTAACCGGTCGCGCCGTTCGACGGCGGCACGGCAAGCAAGCAGCAAGCACATTCTGCAGCGAGGGCAGAGCTGTGCCATGCCAGCTGGCAGCCGCCGCTGCCTCTGAACAGACGTGCAACAGCTGCCTCCTGCAACCTTCTCTGCTTCGTAAGAGCTGCGGGAGATAGGCTGTCTTCGAAACCTTACCCCTCTTTCACATGGGCTTGAAAGTAGCCCACGGGTTCACAGCTCTTTTTGACAGCGGAGAGGAGGTGGGCAGAGAGAGCAACCCCGCAGAGTCTCTCCTTAGAGAACCGGGCCAGGAGGGCAGAGGCGCCGCAAGCACGTCGGTGTTCAACCAGCAGGTCCTGGAGCTCCTGCCGTCACCCCAGGGCTGCCCCGGATTTCAGGATGAAAAACCTCTCCCGGTGGAGAGCTGCCGCTCTACCCAGCACCTTCCCGGCTCCAGGGGAGTCACACTGCTCGCCTCTGTGGGGAGCTGGAGCCAGACGGTTCCATCTTATACGAAGCACTGCTCAAAGGCTTCACGCAGCACAGCTTCCAGAACCCACCCGTGCTGCATGAACTGAGGTCAAGGCTGGTGAGAACAGCAGGCTTTTTAAAAGCGCCCCCCCAAAGTTACAACAAAACAAAAATCTCAAGCAAACAAAAAACCAAACTACAACTTCCACGAACTTTCTTAAGAACTATGACAAGTCACGCCAGTCCAAGGAGACGTATAAATCCAAATCCCCAGGGAGCAGCCAGGTCTCGTTCCACAAACAGACGCAGAGGGAAAAGGGCACTTTTAAAGAGGAAGGTGAAAGTCACAATGATGTGATACAGGGAAAATATTCAAAAGACACATCTCTGTGCTACAAGAAGGCGGGCCCAGTCCCTCACGTTTCCTCAGAGCAGAGCTTCAGGGAGCCGGCTTTAGTACCTGCACAACAGGGACTTTTATCCTCAGGAAGGTGAAAGAGCGAGCAGACTCTTGCAAACGAATGCAAAGCGATGCATAGATCAGATTCCTCTCTGAAACCATACCCCGGGAAGGCCTGGGTATTTAGCAATAATCTCAACTCCTGGCTGAACTCTCTGACTGGGAGCACAAGTGAACATAGTGCCAGAAGCTACCGACTCAGACTTTGAGAAGGTACGCTGGAGAAAAAGCATCCACGGGAAAAACGAGAGCGAGGGGAACAGCGTTTCTATCTTGCTGCTTACGGAAAAATAGCATAGCTGCAATCAATCCAACACCCCCCCAACCCCAAAAAGCACTCTCGTAGCCACCGTCGAGTGAGAAGAGCAGCATGAACCCGCTCCCAGGCTGCTATGCTATCTTGCTAAGGGTCAATTACTCAACTGCCGCCGAGTAAGGGATGCAGAGCTGCAAATGGAGGTCAGTAGTAACGTGCTAGAAAATCTGCGCTGCTGAGAGCCTGAAAAACTCCAAAAGCTGATGGAATTATGCACGTTACCGAAGGCTGCGCATATGGGTATCAGAAGAACCACAAAGCCGTAGTCCCGGTCTCGGCTCTGGGTGTTTGAGATGACACGCTGGCTCACCGCGTCCTTCGGGCTATCTGCGTTGCTGCTACTTGGCAGGTCAAAATTGCCCAGACCTACCAAGCGGAGCCTTCAGAAGACACCGGAGATAGATCTATAGCTTCCATCAGCTGAACATTAAGTGCATTACTGAAGAGGTTTGAGTTAGACACGGTTTACGGGTTTGGCAGTGAAGGTTTAGCTGATCCTCCACCCTGTGTAACAGGGCTTTGTGCATTTCTGTAGTATTTATTCTGGGAGGTCTGGTGTGAAAGAGATCCGTTGCTATCGCTTCTTTTTTTGCTCTCGAAACAATGGAAGAACTGCTGTCAAGTTGTAATTAATGAGTTATAGGGACAAAACTTAATACTTGGAAAACCCTATACCGTAAATCAGCTTTTCCAGGCTACTTTTCAAATCACTGCTACATCTTCCTGCCAAGTAAAACACTACCACCACCAGGGTGGGAACTATCTTCTAGAGTCCATTCTGGGAGCAGAGATTTGGAAGGAAAATAGTTTCCAACTCCCTTAGATAAAAAAAAAAAGTTTCCACGATTTTCAGACATTCACACAGCTTGTCAGCATGCTCATGTGGACATTCCTGTAGGAAATCCAGCCGTATCCCAGTTTCTACCTGGGTTAGTTTTTAACTTCCTTCTTTCTTTTCATTTGCTGGGCAGCCTCCCCCCCCCAACCCAGATTAGATTTTACCCCGCGAACACAAGATGGCCTCAAATCATTAGTGCATCTGTGCGCACAAAACAGATACCGGAAAGCGCTGCTTATGAAGACCTCTCCTGAAGAGCCTCTCTCGTAGGAGCTCCATTACCTGCCGCCAACTCCCTCCACTGCCCAGTGCAGCAGTCACCAGCGGGCGCTTGCTGCCGCCCTCCTTTGGTACGGAGGCTCGGGAAATGAGTCTGACCGGCAAACCCAAGCTGTTTGCCCCGTCCTGTCAGCACGTTTCTCTCGGTGACCGCACAGAGCGCAGTCCCGGGGAGCGTGAGCTATCAGGCTTCCAGTTGGCCGTGAAATGCTGTACAGCGCGAGGCAGCACAGGTTCACTTAACGCATAGAAAAACACTACGAACCACTCAAACTTTGTCAGCGCCGCGTCTCTTGCTCCTCTTCTGCCCCCAGAACAGCGAAGAGCAGGTTATCGTCCTCGTGCCAAGGAGGACACGGTTCATGCTATTAAGCATCTAGAGGAAGTTTCATAAAGTCCTTCGCTGCTTTCTATTCCTTCCCCGTTCCCTCCTCACAAAGCAAGGATGAGAGAAACCTAAGAAGTTACTAATCATTTTACTACAAATCAAATGTTAAACTCTAACACCTACGGATGGTACGTAAGAGAACGGTAACACGACGAACAAGACTGTTTCCTCTCTCCAAGATGGTATCAAGCTAGAAGAGCATTCCCCAACTCCCAGTATTAAAATTGCTCACAGACTGAAACATTTTGTAGCCCTAAGCATTTTTTTTTTTTTAAATCAAGTTACAAACACTTGTAAAAGCTGACAAGCTGTCCAAGGAAGTCTATTAAGAGAGAGGGCAACAAAGTGCTTTCCAAAAATGCTCTGCTATGCATTAGGCTCTAGCAGAATTAAATGGTAAGCATGAGCTCCTCCAATTCAAAAGCCCATGAAATGAGACGACCGGGGCGGTATTAAATCCTCTTGTTTCAATCGGTTGCTGCATAATCCCACAAAGCTAAATAAAGCCAAGTCTAGTCAGTGCATCACAGAGCTCAGCAGCCAAGGCTCAGTCTCACGTACAAGAGGATCAGACGTGCAGGCCTGCGTTAGGTCAGTCTAGAAACTGCCCAAGGTGCAAGCTCTCTGGAAGGGCAGTTATTAGCAAAAAAAAAAAACCCCACTGCCCAGCAAAACACTGGGAGCAGACTGTAAGGGCCTGTTTATTTAGTAACTTCAGCTTCTCTCCCTGCAACGAATAAAATACCCAAAGCACCGGGGCTAATTCTCTTGCCCGGTCAGACAGCATAGTGAAGCGATTCCAGGGGTGCTGTTTCCCCTTCACTGCTCTATCACAAGCGTTGTCATCCTCACTTTCCATTCGTTCTCTCTCACCTAGTCTGACCTGCTTCAAAGAGGTCCTAAACTGGCAGCAGGACTCAAAACAAGGTCAGTTTTTTTGATATCAGTCTCGCCCATTATCCAGTGTATTGGGACACTGCAGTATCCATAGCCGCATACCTGCCCACGAAGCCAAACCAGCTTTTTTTTTTTTTTCTTTTTTCCCCCCCGCTTCTTTTATTTTGCACTACTTGAAGGGAGATATAAATCTCCTGGCTACAACCTGGCAGTTTCAGCTCTGGGCAGCAGGCCACACAGAAATCCAAAGCTTCCTTTAGCCGCACTGTGCTTCCTTCTTTCTGAATACCTGGAAGCAGCCAATGCCTACATTTATTAACTTCTGAACGCAGCTGCCTTCCTCCCACACTGCTAGTCTTAGCTCACCTGCTATTTTGATGTTAAGGTTAGCATCCAGAAGTAGATTTTCTGCCTTCAGATCTCTGTGGACTATATTACGACAGTGACAAAAGTTGACAGCGGCCACTATTTGCTTGAACTTTCTCCGGGCTTCCTTCTCGGCCATACGTCCGTGGGCCACCAAGTGATCTGTGAGGGACGAAGCGAAGAAGAAAGTGGTTATCGACACAGGGAGCGCAACCCAGACAGGGGCTTCTCGCACGCTTGCAGCAAGCGGTGCAGGGGACGGCGATGGGGAACGACGCGGGCACCAGCGTGTTTTCCAGGTTCCAACACCAGACGGGGTCACCGCTGAAGCTACCGGGAAAGGGACTCTGGCACACCGCTGCCACGCCAGCGCCGCCTCCAAGTGAAAGGCTTTAAACTTGCAAACTTTCCTCCATTTAGAGGACAGCTGACGGGGCTGGCTGGAAGATCAGAACCGTTTTGTGAAAAGCGTAGAAGTTTTTACATCTTTTTCTACATCAAAATAAAAGTAAAACTTTTTCAACCTCTTCCCTCAGTCAAATACCAAGCCTCATACCATATTACCTCGACAGTGAGAGGTGCAGGTTCATGGCCACGTGCCATCCCTCCTTCCCTCTGTTTTTTTTCACAGGAAACGTGTCCTTGGTCTAACGAGCCTCACCAAAGATAACTCTTGCCCCAACCAGCGAAGTCCCGGCTAGTTACAGAGACAGCCGGCTCCTCAACTTCAGCTTTCTAGCTAAGAACCTGCCAGCTGCGGAATGCGTTTAACAGCATCCCTCTTCGGAGGGAAAGCCACTCGTGACCAGATCGGAGGGAAACCCCGCTAACGCTCCGCAGTTTACGCCAGCTCCCCCCTCCAGCAGTCCAGACACCTGCCTCTGACCCACGCTCTCCTCGCTTCTGGTGGTCACAGGGCACTCCACAAGGTACACCGTGGCCGAGAGCCAGCCTAAACACTCCTAAAGCACACAAGCTCCCGTTACGAATGCTGCAACTCAGTACAAAAGTACAGCTTGAGGAACCGTCTCTGGGTACTTGCTGCTGTTTTGGTGCGAAAACATGCTTGCGATATTCAACCACGTATTTCATTATAAAAATGGAGCTTGCCTCTACTACGGAAATCTGAGTACTCTAAAATACTTTGTTGAAAATCTATACTCTCCCTCAAAGGTAGTATTTGTTGCCAGCGAGGCTCTCCTTGGAAGCTAGCATTGCACACGGACAGGAAAAGTCTCTCTAAGAGAGCACAAAGGCAGGCATACAGCAGCAACCCAACTTACATCAAGCCACTTAAAACCTGCAAGCGCCAGGCTTCGGGAAGCCGCTCGTCCTGCAAGCGGGGACAGACAGGCGGGAGACAGGCAGTAGAAACGGCAGAGAAAGGAAGAGAAGAAGCACGCCCCTCCCCTGAAGCACCAGCAGAACAGGCAACAAAGCTCTGCCAGGAAAAGTGTAGAAGTCAAAGTAAGCGGCAGCTCAGTTATGAAATGCAATTATTACCCTTTCCTAATATCTCTCCACCCTATGAGCAAGTCCAGCTACAACTGATGTAGCACGGTAAGAGATACGGGTAGGAATAGCAGTTTGCAAGGTTATGGAGTTGAGGACAGTGCTACAAAAAAACCCCAAAACACCACCCAGGAGAAACCTGAGAAGCATCCTGGAGGGCCCCTGGTAACCAGACACGGGACCAGGAGGGTTCCCAAGTTCCCCCAGCTTGAGGGAAAGGCTTCGGAGAGGTTTGCACAGGCCCGCTCCCCTCCGGTGCGGGCCGGAGAGCGGGTTAGCAGAGGCACTAGCAAGCCAAACCCCGGGGGCTGCTTATCTCCTTGCCCGTTTCCAGAGGCTACGACTTCTCAGCTGGGCCATCGAGTTGACCTCGAAAGGCTTCTGGCCAAAAATAGGCCGAAGTGGTTCATTTCACTCCATAACTGGAGGGCTCGACAGAGATGTCTGTTCTTGAAAATAACACAAATAAATCACTTCTGAAGGTTTCTCGTCAGGTGGTTGTATTTTTCCCAGTCACCCATTAATTAAAATACCTGCGACATAATTGACTTGCAGTAAATACTAATTACCAAGATCCATCAAAGCAGTTCTGCTGGCTTCTGACTGCACAGCAACCTACTTCTCTGCATTTGACTACTCATGTTGTGCAACAGAGCGAAGTTGTTTTTCAGAGAACTTGTCAATTAAGTTTTAGTCATCGGATAAACTTATTCCGTGAGCAAGTCTGAACCAGGGCTGGGGAAGGAAATCCATCACCGATTCCAATATGACCCTCAAGTCACTTGCTAGGAAAAGCAAAATTTACTATCTCAAACAGCCCCATCATATTTCATTGGGTCATTTGCACGGTCATAAATGTTTTACTCCAAAGAGTTGGGACACTGACAAGCAGAGTTAAGCAAGGGCCTGCTCCGGTTTAAGCATTACCACCAATCAACAGATAGCAGCTCAGCTCCTGAACACATCAAGGCCATTCACGTCGTTTACTCCGCTTGAATTTGGGAGCGCAGCCTGTCGATAGCGCAAGCCCTCTTAAAACAAAGTGCGAGGCTCCAACCGCTCAACGTTTTTGAAAATACCCGAGAGATTCTCCTGCAGGCCAGAAATCAAATCCCGCCACTGCAGCAGGCGTATTTCTACAAGGCGCCCCTAATTGTATTTTTGCCCAAACCTAGTTCACCTGTCCGTGTCCCGTCCCCCCCCCCGCACAGACAGCGACACATGCCGTTCGGTCCCGTGCACTTCGCAGAGTCTTGCTGCTCAGGGGCTGCCCTGCCAGACGTCCGCTTGCGCAGAAAACTCCGCTGCCCCTGTCATCAGTCAGTCCTGCTTAGGCTGTGAAAAAATATCCTTTTAGGTTAGGCGTGAAATTTCACTGTTCATGAAGAAATGTGCGTGGAGGCCGGTCCCCAAGCTCTGCACGTAGGCACAGCACTTGGAGACCGCTGACATTTCTGCACAAGCTCCAGAGGAAGGACAGAAACAATGAAGCTACAGAATACTTCACATACCACCAAGGGCAACTGTATGCCAAAATTAACCATTGCAAGCTTAGTCTGCATAAACCACTCATGCAACGGAGGTTACAGAGATGACCTGACCGTTCAGCTGGGAGCCAGCACGCTGATCTCGAGTGCACCGAGTCCAGAAGCACAGGCTCGCCGCTGGGTCGTACGCACGTCAGCGCGCTCTCCGGAGGCAGAGGAGGCGTACGGCGTCGCTCCTTCGAGCGTTTTCCCGAGAGACAGGAACGCACGATTTCGTGTCACAACCCTTAAAAACATCAGTTGCTGTTCTCTGTACTTGCATGAAGCACCTGATGCTGCTCTCTGCGTTAAAAAACACAGTAAAATCCTACACTGAAGGAAAAGCATCTTCTGGTTAAGAGACAGGACTGGTACACAAGTTTCCACTTTTCGCCTCTAGACAGACTCCTCGTGCTTTTAAGTTGCTTTCTGTCTGGAAAGCAAACGCTGCTTAAGCTTCACATCTCCTCCGCGTGGTGGATTAAGTTAAATTTCCAGCGTATTTGGCGACCTTGTGATCTCAGAAGCAGCGGTAGATCTCTCTCTACCTCCTAGAGACCGGTACCGCGTTGTTTAATGCGTCTGTCCAGCTCACGCTCAGAAAGCTTAGGACAAGCAGCAGGAGTCGGAGAGAAGGGGCAGAGGCAGCAGACGTGCAAACCGCATTAACCAGACGATCGTTTTGCCAGGTTTTCTGAGAATTTTCGTTAATCGACCGAACACCCGTATTCTTCTCAGGCAGGACCGCAGATTGTTTACAGTATTCACAGTTAACAGCTGAAATCAAAGCAGGCTTTTAGACTATATTCTCTTTGACCTCAAAAAAAGGACACTTGAGGGACCTGGAACAAAGAGCACCCGACGTTTAAAAGGAGACATTCATTTGTTCCTGATGTCAAACCAGCAACCCAACAACACGCAAAACATGGAGAGGGACCAAAATAACAATTTACGTTTTGCTGCTTCAGCCCACAGCAAAAGCAAGTCTTCCCCCTGATCCCCGCGCACCGCTACGCAAGCAAAGTGAATTATCGAAACGTTTCCAGTAACAGATGAATCAAGGACACTTACGGCACCGCTTGGCCGCTGAAGGAGCTCTCAGCCCTTTTACTGGAAATTCAGATAAACAGGTCGTGAGGCTCTCCCGGGTGTTAACCCAGGAAAGCCTGCAGAGCTCGGCCCAGCGAGGGACAAGAAAGGCAAGCACCCAACACTGACTGACGGAAACTGCGGCCGTTTAGAGAAACTACCATTCTTTCAGCTAAAAATTCCATCCTATATTACTGCCTATGTAGTATTTACAGTTGTATGGTACAGTTTAAACCTTTGAAGGTCTTTTTAAAGCACCCAGGGAAACAACTCAGACTTACTTCTAACGAACCCTTGCAGTTCACGGAAGCGTGACGCTGTATTTCAGATTATACGAGGCACTCAGCCTTACACCGAGCGTTTAGCGTCCAGAAAACCACGGTTGTCAGCTCCCCCCCTTCTGCAGCTCAGCACTACACCTTCGCATCAAACCCTGCATCACGCAGATGTCTAGACGATCAAGAAAAAGAGATAAAAGACTCGGCACAGGCACGTTTAATACGGAGGATTCCCCAGTGCCCAGAGTGGCTGCACTGTCCACACGCACCTAGCGGCTATCCCTGCAGCAAGTCCAGCGGCTCCTAACAAAGCCTGCCGTAGGAGGGATGGACGTTGCCTTGAAGCAAGACGCGGACCAAGTTTTACCCTTAGTAACAGGTAAGTCCAGGCTTCCATCCGCTGCACGACACTACGGAAGAGCCGGAGCGGGCGCAAAGCCAGCCCGCGCCGAGATACTTTCTCTCAGCCGCATGAGGACGTGAGATTCTTCAGTACTGGAGATGCTAACGACTGCAAGGAAACCTTTCCAAAACGGGTTGCTGTTTCCTCCCCGTAAATTGCTTCCGCTGTTAGAACAAAGTCTTAATGGCTCCTCAGGAAACTCCGATTACAAAAAGCTGAGACCCGAGTTTCCCCCTCTCTGCTCTAGCGCCAAGGGCGCGCGGGGCCTCGGGCAGCGCCTGAAAAATGCTCAAAAGGGGCTAGCGGGGGCACAGCCTCCTGGCTTCGGTCTGGAAAAATGTCAGGGCTATTACACAAGTGGCTGCTCCCAGCTATCGACGAGGACAAAATGCTGGGCAGCGTAATGGAAATTAGCCATGCTAATGAGCTGAACTTGCTACGGCATAAAATATTTCAGAGAGCAACGAGATTTTTCACTTCGACTCATGTAGAAGGCTATTTTTGTAACCAGAAGAATTCATTCCAAGTTTGTATACGAGCTTGCACATAGTTCTGGATTTAAAAAAAGATGAGCCCATCTCTGCCAAATTCAACAGAAGAGGGAGAAAAAGAAAGAAGTGATTTATACTGTTCTGCGGTGATCCACACACAAGCGAACTCTAACTCGCACTCAAGTGATTTGGCTGCAATTATGGCTCGCTGGAGACGGTGAGGTGAGTTTCACAAGCCTTCGGAACTGTCGGGGGTCCAGCACCGTGATTCACGTTTGAGGAAACAACGGAAGACTCAGCTGGAGGAAGTCAGGTTTTTCACCAGGCCATCCGCACTTTCCAAACAGCGGCTACTGCTCGCTTCTTCCTTCAGCCCTCACCTTCTCAGAGGAGAAATCCAAAGGACGTGGACAACGTTGAGAAGGCGGCACGACAACCATCTACAAAGGTACTGAGGAACTGGTATTAGAATATATTCACCGGAAACCAGCATTTTTCAGCTCAAGTTGTCTTATTTTCCTTAATTTAGGGCTTTTCTTGCTTCACTAAGAGCTTCATCTTTTATTACAACTCAGCCTCAGTTCCAGCAGAGCGGGAGGCTCTGACATCAAAAGTGAATCTACTGCAACGACTTAACAGGACGAAAACGAGAGTATTTCCATTTAGCTGACAGGCCGTATGTGACTGTCCTCACAAGGACGTTGCCTGGAAGCAGATTTAAGCCAGCTCGCTTCAAGCGCAAAGGATTTTCCCCCTCTCCCGAGGCTCACGTCGGCTGAGCTCGTAAAGAGCAATCTTGCAAAATTCTGACTCTGTCACCTGGCACAGAATTCCAGTGTGTAAGTAAATCTCTATTTCTACGAGTTTCTTATTGGTCATGGCAGTAAAACAAACAAATTAATAAATCAGTCAACAGTTCTCGCATTTGTGCGGCACGGATACTTTTTTTTTTTTTTCCCCTTTAAAGAATAGCTTCTGCGGTCAAGAGAGCTCAGCCAAAACATTGTTAGCAGACAATGGAGTTTAAAATGGAAGCAACTAATACATGCTGAGATAACATCAGATATCAAAGAGATAAGAAAATACATGGTTTTGGGAACAAAATACTACAGAACCGCAGGACAGCCTCTTTCTTTGAAAGCTACTAACACACACCAACATTTCCGCTATAGTTAACGGGTTTCATGTAACTTGCTGGGAAGCAAAGTATTCAGCAACACTTCAAAATCCAACCGGATGACTATTTCCAACCTCTTTAATCCCAAAGTCAGCATAAAGGAGGAGCAGAACCACCTGTCCACGAAACCCAAAGAAGAAACAGAGGTTAGGGAAGTTATTTTGCCATCGAGTTGGTATCATTTGTTTCTTTACCCCTCTTGTCAAGGGAAAGTTTTCGGGCTGAAGGGCGTCTCTCAACTGAAACAAGAGAGTGCGGCAGCTATTTTCAGTTTACCGTTGTTGACCAAGTGCATTAGCTGATTAAAGAATGCAATAAACGTACTTACCAAATATTTCCCCTCCACTAGCATACTCTGTCACTAGATAAATCATCCTCTCCGTCTCCATAACCTGGACGCAAGGACAGAAAAGCGACAGGTAAGGAGGCTGCCGTGTGCAAAAAGAAATGTAACTAATTGAAAAGGTTTATTCCTTCGACAACACATGTAACTGCTTTCATCAAATGACAAATATTACTTCCCCGTGCTTTACCGAGCTAGGCAAAGGAAAGGACAGGAACCGGGGAAAGAATCAAAGAGCAAGTTTTGAACACTAAATCTGTAGCTAAACACAACACTTCACCTGCACCTTCCTCCTCTCCCCTTTCCCCTCCCTCGAGCGTTTGCTCCCCGGTCCCGTCTTGTTCCAGCAGCCCGGGAGACTTTGCAGGGCTGCTGCAACCAAACTAGTTCGCCCTTCTCGTTAACCAGTCCACTGCGGGCACTAAAATAACCAACACGATTTTGCCGAAGGGGGGAAATATTCGCCGAATCGATAAGTGACTTTCAAACGACTCAAGACCTGTTGGAAATAAACCAGAGCTCAGGCTTTGCTTCAGGGAGTCCGCACGTCTCAGCCAGGTAACACCCCGGTTTTTAACAGGTTTTTTACACACATTTGTAAGGGAGTATTAGGATTTGGGGGCCGTAGCAGTCCAACACGCCGAGGCCAGCAATTTATTAGATAAGATCTCTTTAAAGGACCAGGCACCGTGCAGACAAAGGCAGCGAGGGGCTGACAGAGACCGATGCCACGCTCGGCACAGCAGCGGGGCCACAGGACTCTCGGAAGCATACAACCGATTTCTGAGCACGGTCCCATCGCCCGTAGTGAAACCGGCCCTCCAAAATGACCTCGGAGTCCTCAACGACTTCTAGGAAAGTCCCTAGCAGGATGCAGAAGAGGAGAAAAGCATAGGGTGAGGCACTATATGCTAAAGATGGGCCCCAACTACATTTGTAATGCTTAACAGACAGTGGGCGATGTGCAATCACGCTGGGCACAGAAAAAGCAGCCGATAATGCCTTCCTGCCTGCAGATTTGGTAAGGGTGGCTCCGAGGGCTGTTTTGTGACCGGATTATGTTTTGCGACCCGCCTTCAGGCAAGTGCACACTCGGGGTATTTTCCAAAACTCGATGCTACTTATTTACGAGGCTTCACAGCTTTGTCAGTGGAAAAAACCACAGCGCGTTTCACTTCCAGGACGGCAGCGCTGAACCTCCGGTGCCAGGCACGGCAGGTCAATTTCGATACTGCCGGGTGCTTACGAAAGGCCTGGAAGCGTTTTGATTTTGTTTTGGCTTTTCTGTTTCAAAGACAAGTGAAAGTTCACCTTTTGACACGAAACGGACTATTATATCCCAGCGGAGAAGCTAGGTACTCGGAGCCCAGCGCTGCTTGTTCTTACTAAGAATTAGGACCCGAACATGTAGCTTCGTATTTTAAAGCACACACGCCTGATCCAGACAACGGGCAGCTGCTTCAACAGCTGGACTGCTATTATTCTGAACGTTAAAACAGGAGTATAACGAAGAGGAACCTCAGTTCTGCCCAAGCGCCACGGGGCGTGATATACAGCTCCCGCTTCGTGGTGATACTACCTGTCCAGAAAACCCTTAGGTAGATA